TGCTGCAAATAGTCCATCAAATTTGAAGATAGAGAACTCAGATCTGGAGAAATGGGTAGCAGAATTCTGATCTCTTGATGTTCTATGGGCTGAAAGGAGAGTCGATGAAGCTATAGAAGCCCTTGATGAAGGAGAACGTGTAGCATCTGAGGCAAAAGAAACAAAATTGTTGAGCTCCAGCGTACTTGTGTCACTGCAGACTGCTATAGTAGAGCACAGGCAAAAGTTGGCTGATCAGCTTGCTGAAGCTGCTTGTCAACCATCTACTCGCGGTAATGAACTTCGTGCAGCTATATCAGCTCTTAAAAGGCTCGGGGATGGCCCCCGGGCACATAGTTTGCTTCTCAATGCACATTTCCAAAGATATCAATACAACATGCAAAGCCTTCGGCCATCAAGCACCTCATATGGAGGAGCATATACTGCTGCCCTTTCACAGCTTGTGTTCTCTGCTATAGCCCAAGCTGCTAGTGATTCTTTAACAATTTTTGGTAGCGAAACAGCTTATACTTCTGAGCTTGTGATGTGGGCTACAAAACAGACACAGGCTTTTGCCCTTCTTGTTAAAAGACATGCATTAGCTTCATCAGCAGCAGCTGGAGGTTTAAGAGCCGCAGCAGAGTGTGTCCAAATAGCTTTAGGCCATTGTTCATTGTTGGAAGCTCGTGGCTTAGCACTTTGTCCTGTTCTCTTGAAACTCTTTAGACCTAGTGTTGAGCAAGCCCTAGATGCCAATCTAAAACGAATTGAAGAAAGTACTGCTGCTCTGGCTGCTGCTGATGATTGGGTCCTCACATTCCCTCCAATGGGTACCCGTCATTCTAGTACAGCATTTCAGCATAAGCTCACAAGTAGTGCCCATCGGTTCAATTTGATGATTCAGGTGAACAATTAATTCTTGATGTGAATTGATTTCAAATAGATCTGGCAATAGCTTTTTACATTGTACAGTGAACTGCATTGCAAAGAGTTGATAAATATTTTTAGTTGAGACTAGATTTCTTTTTGGGATTTAGGGAAACGGGTATAAAGTTACGTTTCTATCACAAATAGGCATTAAATGGGAATATTCTCTACTCTTTTGTCGGATCTCATATTTTGCTTCTGCAATGTTTTCTATTGTCTTCCCTGCTATAATTACAATGTTTCTTGCCCAATTATTTTTTTGGTGTGGAATAGCGGAAAAGATTTTGTCATGAAGTAGGTACATGCATACTGACCCTGATTTTTACAGTTTTTCTAATTTCTTCCTTGCCTTGGTATATCTTTTTGGAATTTTTCTAGTGCTTCCTCTGATAACAAATGGTTATCTGTCTGCTCCAGATTATTGATGTCATTATCTGCAGCATCATCAGATATCAAGACCATTGATTGATGATCAATAGAATATGCTCCAATTTGTTTCTGTTGCATATGATGTTTCTGCCATTTGATTTATTTTAATGTATGGTTTACTTGCTCTTATAGGATTTCTTCGAGGATGTAGGACCTCTCTTAAGTATGCAGTTGGGAGGTCAAACACTTGAAGGTTTGTTCCAAGTGTTTAACTCGTATGTGAACGTACTCATAAAAGCATTACCGGGCTCAATGGATGAAGAAGCAAATTTTGAAGGCTCTGGAAATAAAATTGTGCGAATGGCTGAGACTGAAGCACAGCAGATTGCCTTGTTAGCAAATGCATCATTATTAGCAGATGAACTACTCCCACGTGCGGCCATGAAGCTTGCTCCTCTAAACCAGTCTAATTACAAAGGTGATAGTCGGAGAAGATCTACAGATAGGCAAAATCGTCACCCTGAACAGCGAGAATGGAAGAGGCGGCTTGTGGGTTCAGTTGACAGATTGAAAGATACATTTTGTCGGCAACATGCACTGGACCTCATATTCACAGAAGATGGGGATAGCCATCTTACTGCAGATATGTACATAAACATGGATGGAAATGTTGATGATGTGGAGTGGTTTCCATCTCTAATATTCCAGGTATTCCAATAACTACTGTATAAGTATCTTTTACTGTTTTTGTTATAACAAAATATATTTCCTATATGATCTGTTAGAGTATAGTCTTTTTCTGTACTGTCATATTCGTGTATATATTAGTTTTTATTCTTAGTTTTCCTTTCATTATCATAAGTATCTGATGCAGAACGATAAAATCCTGATTTGGAATAAATTTTCTATTAATTAAGTTTTTCATAATTATTATTAGGATGAATTATTACCTACTTATCCTATACAAGTAGATTTTATGTTATCAGAAACTCGGGCAATTTTGGTAGATTTTAAGTTATTTATCCAGACAAAGTTTGGGCGTATTACATTACCATATATATATGGAAAAAAACCGTAAATATGTAAGGGTTTAAATAAATATCAAACTGCACAACAAATATGCTTTAAACATTAAGTGAATAATAATTCCTCCAAAATACATTTGTACCTCGAAACTCAAGAATCAAACTCCTGGAATAAGAATAATCTCTAAATCCAAATCCAAAATAAAGTTAGTAAGTTCTAGATTTCGAAATTGGAATTTCACTATCACTCACAGGTGTTAAATGATTTAGTCCTGATTTTTTTGTCATTTAGTCTCTTCTTAATTCAATCATTCCATTTGTCTTCTCTCCTCACCTTTCTGTTCTCAACAAAAAAAAAAAAAAAAAAACAAGCTAGCCTCTGAGCAAGAGTGACACAGATGGGTTTTTGGATACTTTTTGGTGCATGACCACCTTTTTGTCTTTGTATATGACCATTAAACTATTGGAGATTGTTGCATCTGACTTATGTCTTAAAAGTTCATGTAAGCAATGCATACAGATACATCTGTAAGTTGTTCCAATTTTGTGATTGTGATTACATTGTTTTGTGATTTTATGGGGATTGAAAAGTAGATGGAACAATGTGTTTCGTTCTAGGTTTTTATTTATTTAAATGTTTAATCTCACCTGGCTTCTGGCTTTCTTAGTTGCTTTTTTTCTTACATTAAATTTTCTCCGTTCACAATCAATGCTACTCCCTGTTATTGTGATGGCCTCTCAGTTACTAATTTTACAGATTATAAGTGGACTTTAACAAGTTAACTATTTCTAGTATGTCTTAGTTTAGTTTTAGCTCTCTGATATTTTTTTAGATATACTGCTGGATTTCTCCTTTTCTTTGTAGCACTTTAGGTTTAGAATTTTTGTCACATCTGATGTTTTGTTCTGGTTATGTTACAATTCAGGAACTATATGTAAAACTAAACAGAATGGCAAGTCTAGCAGCAGATATGTTTGTAGGAAGGGAAAGATTTGCTACATTGCTTTTGATGAGACTTACAGAAACTGTCATCTTATGGCTTTCTGAAGATCAAAGCTTTTGGGATGATATTGAGGATGGTCCAAAGCCTCTAGGTCCTCTTGGCCTGCAGCAAGTATGCCAATCGGTTGTCTTTTCTTTTACAGTTCCCGTGGAAATATCAGAAAACTAATTAACTTGTACCATTGGCAGTTTTATCTGGATATGAAGTTCGTCATTTGCTTTGCATCCCAAGGTCGCTACTTATCAAGGAATTTGCATCGAGTTGTCAATGAGATCATATCTAAAGCCATGGCAGCATATGCTGCTACAGGGATAGATCCATATAGGTATTGTAGTGATGCAAAATAACTCTGGCAGTCTTTTATTTGCAAGCTGCTTGGTCTCGTACTGAAAGAACATCCTATATTTGTGCGTAATTTAATTGAAACTGCTTAGTCACTGGTTTTCTATTGCTGAGATTTTATTTATCCTGTCAGTGAACTGCCAGAAGATGACTGGTTCAACGAAGTTTGCCAAGAAGCAATGGAAAGATTAAGTGGAAAGCCAAAAGCTATTAACGGAGATCGTGATCCGAACAGCCCAACTGCTTCGGTGTCGGCACAGTCAATATCATCTGTGAGATCCCTCGGGAGCACCTGAAATCATGTTTGCTCGACCTCTGTAAATTAGACGGGAAACGGATTCACAATGGACTTGCAAGCAAGTCACACCATGTATTCATAGTGTGGAAATTTCACCTTTTTTTTTTCTTTTCATTTTTTTTCTTCATTCCCATGTTTGTAGGTTGATGTTTGTGTGGTTGCAAATTTAGGTTACATTTTTTCTCTGGCTTCCTGATTGAGTTGTACATGTTGATTGCTTGATTGAGTAGGATCTAGTCATACACCATTCTTTTCATCAATGGTGGAATTCTACCTTTAGAAACTTTGGTTTAATGAAAAAGGGAGAATTATATTATAGTATTAAGGAATATATTATATAGTCGGAAAAATAAAACAGAAGTTACTAAAAGAGGGTTGCAGCTGGGAAGTTGGAAGAAGAAAGAATGAACTAGAAAAAAAGAAATCTGTTATTTTCTTGTTATTTATAGTGTGCTGATTGAACTTTAACCTTTAAAAACATCGAATGCACTCGATTTAATCCTAATAGGAAAATTTAGAATTTCAGAAATGTAATTCTTCTAATAAACCAGTATTCATTTCAAGAAGAAAGAAAAATTCAATAACACCAGCATAAAAATTCAATAGCATCCATAAAAACGAAGTGGTAACTTTTTCACCGAATCAACTTTTCTCTCGGTGAGAAAATTACTAACTAACCACGTAGAGCTTAGACTTGAGGCTTCGAGAACAACAAGAAAAGAAAGAAAAAGCTTGTGTATGATTTATTAATTTTTTTTATATTTTTTTTTAAAAAATAAAAACGTAGTGTAATATATATTAACATAAGTATCAAGAGAATACCGTCCATTTATAAAAAAATAATTATGTATCAATCAAATGATCGATAACATTTTCAAAATCGTTGAATCCATTAATGTCATGATTTCAAATCAAAGAACAAAAAATTGTAAATTCACTTGTCTCTAATGTTAGTGAAATCTCTCTCTAAGTCCATCAAAATTTCTCGTGTTCCTTTCCTTCCGCACCACTCAAAAAATAGATGGGATTAAGAGAAAGTGAGTTTTCCTTTCTTATATGACCGAAGATTTCCTTTCTCCTAGCCTTCCTAACAGCACTCCAAACAAGAGCTAAGATGCCGATACTTTCTGTGGCAACATGTCACACAAACGAATCATCATTGCTTAAAGAATTCTTGCTATCTTGATTTGTGATTCAATTGAATCGTAATGGCGGACAAGGCTTTACAGAAAGTGCCTTTGAAAAAATTTGCACCCATGTGAAAATTCATTACAAGTGGGTGGATTACAATAAACTTGTATATCAATCATGTATCTAGGTAATTTGGAGACTGGATTGTCCTGATAAGCTCCTTCAGATTAGCCAACAGATGTCGCGGTCCTAAGCTCTTAACACCAATGAAATTCAGGAGTTGCTCTAAATCCTGCAACAGTTTCCAATCATTCAATAAGCCAAGTAAAATTACAGCCAGGTTACTTAAAAACAGCTACTAGCGGTACCCATGCCAGTTAGTTAGGTATCGCCCAAAAAGCAGTAGTGAAAATCGCATCCACCTCAACATTCCAAGTTGCAAAAGCAAGTTCAATAATTATCAAGATCAAACATATATCCATCTAAGATTTAGGACCGCAAAAAATATATTTTTTCTCTACAAGGAGAAAAGCCAACATAAAACTTCTATATCCGAGAAAATAAAGCAGTAAACAACTTTTTTTAACATAAAGCCTCTGTCAATGACTCGGTGCAAGACGAACTTCATTTAAAAGCACTCAAAACACTCTGATATCAGACGCAATCCTGATCTATTAAACGTTCCTAGAACCAATCTGAATTTTGTATCCTAGTATAGAAGATGAAGTATGATGCCCTCATGAACATTAATCACCTAATAGCTGGAATAAATACACAATAGCAACAGGGAAAAAAGTTCCTGAAAAGATCCCCAGCCTCCATTTCACACTAGAAGCAATCTTGACAATGAAGATTTCTAATTCAAAAAGAGATTTGCATTTTCTTCACACACCAGTACTGGCCATTTGACTTTTCAGCATATTTGGTTCCCGATTTTATGGTACAAACTTGAGCTTTCAGCTTTAGCTCCTATTCTTTGAAGAAGAAAATACAAGTAATGCAAACGACGCACTGAAATGGTACAACTATGTATAAAAAGAAGGGAATACAAAAGACAATTCCAGCATAATTTTTCAAAATTATTTACTAGAATAAGGTTCCTACTAGAACTATTAATAACATAGGATTTTACGAGAATAGAGTTATTATGTTTTTTTTTATAATTATTTCTTATTTATTCGAAAGTCCTATTCTGTAAGTGTTTTTTTTTATTCCAGTCTTGTTAGCTTATGTAGACACTTTATAGGCACGCAGGTGACTTAACATCATTAAATAGTCTGCCTATGAATAAATTACATTGATGTTCTCTCATTAATTAAGTGCCTAAACCATGTGATTTTAGTTGTGCAACCCTGTGATTTTTGGTTGTTGCGAATCCCCATTTGTCGATTGAACTTTCTCTTTTTCTACATCTTCTTGAAACCCTTTTCCATTATGCTACATCACTCTTCTATTTCTCTCTCTTCAAGCTTAAGCTCTTAATTAACTTCTAATCAATAATGGGAATCAAGGAAATAGAGGCCGGAGTTCAAGAAACAATCACACGCAAATAACTAATAAATAATCCATGCTGTGATATAAAGCCAGAAATATAACCAGAAAAGAAGAGATTTCCTTCTTTTTTTTTTTAAAAAAAAAACCTCTTCTCAAGGATGGAGATATTAACAGCTTGAACGGAAAAGGAGCAAGTTCCAACGCCCGAAGCCAATGATACAAGTAACAGTATATCAACTTCAAAACAATCATATAAATACATCATCTGCATATGTACCTTGTTTAACAAAAATACAGCATAAGCTGCTCTTGTTGTGTCTTGACCTTCCAGAAACAGAGGAAATTCTACAGGTTTCACATTTCCAGAAACTGTTATATCTGACAAGTAGTCAGACAAGGTAGGCTCTGTCGAAGGAGCGTAATCATTAATATATGAGCGTGAACCACCAAAACGTAGAGGATACCTCAAAGGAACTTTCAAATAGGAAGATACAAGTAAAACAGCCTACAATAAGAAAAAGAAAGGAACTTAGTGAAAATTTTTAAAATTTTGTTTTCTTTTTACAAAATCAAGGGGGCAAATGATATTAGAAAACCCACAGCCTGAACAAATTTGGATACAAAAATAAATAGGTAAAATAACTAAATTTCTTATGGCAGAAAGCATTTGTAGTTTATATTATTTGACACTAAATTTATGATATAAACATATGCAAAAGGAAGCATCACATGGGTTGGCAAAAGATGCCCCCTTGATGCCAAAATTCATAATTTAGATCAAGATATGAGATAGGAACCAACGTGGGCAACATATCCTAAGGCAGTTGAAGACCTCTGAACCTCCTTCTTATCAGTGAAAAAGCTCATCTTTGTAAAAGGAAGCACAGTCAAACGCAAACCTAATATTGTCAACGATCCTTGATTAACAGGTTTAGATCTCGTGAAATTTCCTGTGAGAACCAAAAAAAGGAATAGAATGAAGATGAAATTCTCAGTTTTGGTTTAGAGATAGAGGAGGAAGAAGCATTGATATCAAGCTAGATAGTTAGCGAAGCAGATCTCTGAT